AGGATACGGCCGCTGCCCTGGTGCTGCTTGCCGCCAGTAGGGAAGCGTAGATCAGAGTTTCCAGCTCTGCAGCTGGAGGTACCCCGAGGTGATCTGGCATCCAGGCGTGTTCCACGTGCCCCTCGTGCTTCCTCACCCAGGCTCACCGGGCCCAGCCCGGCTGCTTTTCTCATCCAGGCCGGTGGCAGAGCCGGGGGCTCCGAGCCGCGGGACGGAGCTCTGCTGGCTCAGCTCTGATGCTGGGAAGTGAAAGGCGCATCCCAGCTCTGAACTGGGACAGCAGAACAGCTGGGCTTTGGTGGCGTTGCAGCACCAGCCACGAAATCCCTCACGCAGGTGAATTTCTGTGCCTTCCCTTGCCGGCCGGTGGGCTCCCTCGGCTTGTCTGGGCTCCGTCTGTCCCTTCGCAGTGCTCAGCCTGGGAGGGTGGGACAGGAGCTGAGTCACTGTCCCCTCTCCCAGGGCAGCTGTGCTGCCTGGTCCTGCCTGGCATGGGGAAACGCTGGTCTCTGTGTGTGTTTTCCAGAGGGAAGTTAAGAGATACTATTCTGGACTGGGAAGATTCCCTGCCCGACCGTGACCTCACGCTGGCGGACGAAGCCTGCAGGTACTGGGCTTGGGCTCCTCACGCCGTGGCGGCTGCTGGCTCCTGCGGCTCGTGGTGCCCCGGGAGGCTGCGCGGGCTCGCTGTCCTCTGCCCGGGGTCCCTGTCCTCTGCCCACACCACAGTGGCCCTTGGGCCAGCCCTGCCTGGCTTTGTTTGTCGTGTTTTGTGCCTCGCAGCCCTGAGGCTGCACCCACAGCACGGCAACACCCAGCCCTCTCCCCAGAAAGTGGCTGAGAGAAACCGCTGCAAATTCTGGCCACGGGTTTGCTTCCTAGCTGGGAAGCTTGGAGAGTCCACACTGGAGCAGGGTAGGAGAAGCAGCCGGCAAACAGCCACAGCTTTTTCTCTATGCTGGATGTTTTGTCTCCTCCCCGCAGGAAAGCCGATCTCTCCGTCACTCTGGGGACCTCCCTGCAGATCAAACCCAGCGGCAACCTCCCGCTGATCACGAAGAAGAGAGGAGGGAAGCTGGTCATAGTCAACCTACAAGCAACCAAACACGTGAGTGAGAGCGTCCTCGCTGCTCTGCGCTCGGAGCAGGTTGCTCTGCGCTGCTCCTTTCCCCTCGCGTCACTGTGTCGGCCCCATCGCAGTTTAGTCCCTGCGCGTTGTCCCCTCCCAGGCGGCCAGACGGAAGAGTGGCCTCGCTTAGCAAGCAGACAGGCTGGGCTTCCCTCGTTGGAGGGATTAAACCTGCAACTCCTGATAAACACCTAGAAATGGAAGGTAAATCTTAGGAGTGCAATAAAAACTCAGCCCAAAGCCTGGTGTATCCTCCGGTGAATCACGGTCCGATGAAATAACTGCAGACACATAACCCACGTCACGGGGCGGAGGAGTCTGGTTCATGTTCAGCAGTGGTTTTGGTGCCCTAATTGTCCAAAGTCTTTTGAATAACCAGAGCTGGGGGGTTTCTGGGATGTTGTTAGAGCTCCCTTGTCCCTGTCCCGCTCTGTCCTGGGCTCGCTAGCCCAGCTCTGCATCTGTGTCCCCGCCTCTGGGCTGTGTTCCAAGCTGGGGACAGCCTGCCCACACCCTGTCAGCCCGCGGCGTAGCCGGGGAGCGGTGCCAGACGGGGTCAGGGGCTCAGTTCGTGTTCCACCAGGGCTGATGTCTCGGGGACGGGAGCTCTGGAGCCTGCGTGCAGCTGAGCCATCACCCAGGCCCTGTCCTCACGCGCTCCCTGGGAGGGGACGTTTGTCCCCAGGCGCTGTGTTTGTCCCCTAACGCCGTGCTTGCCCTTGCTCGCCCCAGGACAGACAGGCCGACCTGCGCATCCACGCCTACGTCGATGATGTCATGACAAAGCTGATGAAGCACTTGGGGCTGGAGGTCCCGGAGTGGACTGGGCCGGTGGTGGTGGAAAGCGCTGAGCTCACCGAGCCCGAAGAGCTCTTCACATTCGACCCCGGGGCTCGCGCGCTGCGGAAGGAGGAGCCCCTCTCCCAGCACAACGGCACGGGTGGGCTGCGCCCTGACCTTGGGACCACGCTGGTGGAGCGCCGTGACAGTCTGAAGCAGGAGAGTCCCAGCCCGGACACGGGGCCAACGACAGTGAAGAAGATGAAGGTGGAGCCTCTCCTCACCTGACCCAGACTGTTCCCTGTCTGTCCAGACACTCGTCTGTGCCGCTTTTCCTACCGACTTTTTTTTATACCCTCAAACATTGTCTCCTTTTTTATGTAAGTATTAAATACACTCGAGTCGTGTGTGTGGGGCAGCTGCACCCACCGGCCCCGGAAGGGTGTTGCCTGCTTGAAATGTCCCGAGCATCGCATTCCTTCTCTGCGAGGAGATGGCTGTGGGGTCCAGCAGACCTTGGGGGGCAGAGGGAGGAGGGTGCTGGGCGCTGGGCTGGGGACCCACGGTGGGGTCACTGGGGCAGCTGGCGCCGTCTCGGATGAAGCTGGGGCTGGGCAGCGGGGGGGTGAGCTGTGGAGCCGGTCCCGTGCGCGCCGGTGGTCTGGGGGATGTCGCTGGGTGGTGGAAGGGGACTGGTGCAGGGCGGGGAGCTGTGGGACGGTGCCCCAGGCCTGCTGCTCCCGGCCGCCCCGGGCTGGGCCTGGCCACGCGTCCCAGCTCGGCTGGACACTGGTGCCTCCTGGCAGCTGGGCTCTGGGCGGTG